TCTTACATTATAATTTTTGTAATGTTTTATTGTGAATTATATGATAGTTTACATGGGAGAACATTAGTTTTACATTCATTCTATCGTATATCGTTTCATTGACATGGTTACAATCCCCTCCATACATCATCAACCAACGAAAGGGTATATCTTGCAAGTCTGCCCCCTACACTACCCCCACCCCTAATCTTCAGCACACAGTCCCTCTCCCTCTCTAGATCTAAAGTCCCCAGCAGCTCCATTGCTCCACGTCATCATCGTCTCTGCCTCCCTCTCAGGCATCACTGTTTCTCACCCTAGCTTTTAAGGAGCATTCTGGCTGTACTTCTCCCAAGACAGATTTTGTTTGTCCGTGGTACTTTCAATGTTCTTCCCCAACATCAAGCCCTGATTCTTCTCCAATCTTCCTTATTCATTGTCCAAATTTCACATGTATATCAAGTAATTGAAAATACTATGGCTTGGGTTAGGTGCGCCTTAGTAATCAAACTGACATCTTTACTCTTGAACACTTTATAAAGAGGTCTTTTGCAGCAGATTTTCCTAATGCAACACATCGTTTGACTTCTTGACTGCTGCTTCCATGAGCACTGATTGTGAGTCCAAGCAAAATGAAGTCTTTGACAACTACAATCTTTTCTCTATTATGATTGGTCCAGTTGTGAGGATTTTCATTTTCTTTACATTGAGGTGCGATCCATACTGAAAGCTATTGATTTTCATCAGTAAATCTTTGATTTTCATCAGTAAGTATTTCAAGTTCTCTTTGCTTAAAGCAAGCAAGTTTGTGTCATCTGCATATTGCAGGTTGTTAATAAGTTTTCCTCTAACCCTGATGCCATGTTCTTTTTCATATAACCCAGCTTCTCGGCTTATTTGCTCAGCATACCAATTGAATAGTATGGTGAAATGATACAACCCTCTGTATACCTTTCTTGATTTTAAACCATTCAGTGTCCCCTTATTCTATTTGAATGGCTACCTCTTGGCCTATGTACAGTTTCCTCATGAGCACAACTAAGTGTTCTGGAATATCCATTCTTCTCAACATTATCCACAACTTGTCATGATCCACATAGGCAAAAGCCTTTGCATAGTCAGAAAAGCACAAATGAACATGTTTCTGGTTTTCTCTGCATTTATCTAGAACCCATCTGATGTCAGCAATGATATCCCTCATTCTGTGTCCTCTTATGAATCCAGCTTGAATTCTGGCAGCTCCCTATCAATGTATTGCTATAACTGCTCTTGAGTGATCTTCAGCAAAATTTTACTTGCATGTTTTATTAATGATATTGTTCAATGATTTCTGCATTTCTGCTGTGGTGCTGTAGGATAAGCTCTGGACCATAGGGTCAGTTTGAACCTCAAAACCAGCGTTTCCCACCTACCAGTTGCTCTTCAGAAACCCTATACGGGGTTGCTATGAGCCAGAACTGACTTGATGGTACTTCGCAACAACAATAGTCATCTTTCTTTGGAATGGGCACAAACATAGATCTCTTCCAATTGATTGGCCAAGTAGCTATCTTGCAAATTTCTTGTCATAGATGAGTGAGTGCCTCTAGCGCTGCTAAATCAGTTTGTTAAAACATTTCAATTTGCATTCTGTCAATTCCTGGATCCTTGTTCATTGCTAATACTTTCAACAAAGCTAGGTCCTTTAGTACCTTTGGCTCTTGATCATACGTGGTACCTCCTGAAATAACTGATCATCAACAAATTCTTATTGGAACAATGACTCTGTGTGTTCTTTCCATCTTCTTTTGATGCTTCTCGCATCATTCAATATTTTGTCAATGTTGTTATTGTTAAGTACCATCGAATTGGTTCTGACTCATAGTGACCATGTATAGGGTTTCCAGAGAGTGGCTGGTGGATTTGAACTTAAGACCTTGCTGCTTGAATTTTTTTTTTTTAACTGAAAATTAGAAGGAAAGAGGAAGGATTGGTATGTGGGAGCTGTGGTCTTGGTGATAAAGAAACAATGCTGGAGTTTACATGATAGAATTTTGCAAGACCAACAACTTATTCTTTGCAAAAATCATTTTTCAACAATAAACAGTGAGTATACATGTGGACCTCACCTAATTGAATTCACAGGAATCAAATTGATTACGTAAATGCGAAGAGATGATGGAGAAACTCAGTATCATCAACCAAAACAAGGCCAGGGGCTGACTGTGAAATAGACCTTCAATTGCTCAGAAGTAAATTCAGGCTAAAGCTTAAGAAAATGAAAACAACTCCACGATGGCCAAACCAGGACCTTGAATATATCCATCCCACCTTAATTTAGAGACCATTTCAAGAACAGATTTGATGCATTAGACACTAATGACCAGAAGAGTGTGGGATGATGTCAAGAACATCATATATGAAGAAAGCAAAAAAGGTCATTAAAAATATAGGAAAGAAAGAAAAGACCAAAATGGATGTTATAGGAGACTCTGAAACTTGATTTTGCATGCAGAGAAGCTAAAGTGACTGTAAGAAAGTAAAAGAGCTGAACAGAAATTTTTTTAGAGTTTTATTAAAATGTTTACACAAAGTTTTACACACAAAAAATGTTTACTTGTGCTTTGAGAAGACTAAGAAAAGTGTTCATTTTTTTCTCCAGAGAACTTAAAAATCTGTTTACTGTTTCTTGTCCTTGCCTCCCAGCTGAGCTCAAAGCATATTTTATTCCTTCTTTATATCTGCAGTGTTTAAAACACTATACACATTCAATAATTATGTGTGGAGTGAATGAATGGATCGATGAATGATTTATTTTCCAACAAACTCAATTCCAATGGATCCCAACCCTGATTCTAACTTTACCTCAAGCCATCTTCCCAGCTTCTTTCTTTCCCTCCACTGAGGAATGTGTACTTCATAAAAATTGAGGGTCAAAATTTATACAGTAAAATTCATGATGTGCCCTCCATACCATCAACAAAGAGACCTGAATGGTTAAATGCTTGGCTGTTAACCATAAGTGCTTTCAAGTTGGTTCCGATTCATAGTGACCTTGTCTAGGGTTTCTTTAGGAGCAGTTGGTGGGTCTGAACTGCTAACTTTGTGGTTAGCATTCCAGTGCTTATCTTACAGTGCCACCAGGATCTTAAGGTAGGTGTTTCAAACCTCTCAGCTGTTCAGCAGGAGAAAAGAATTGGCTATTTGCTGTTGCAAAGATGTTAGCCTAGGAAACCTAGGTAGTTCTTCTGTGTCATATAGACTCAGAGGCACGCAACAACAAAAGTCAGAAGATGCTTGATGACACACAGAAAAAACTAATATCATTAACATTTCTAGCTCCCTTCTGTTCAAGTCCTGAGGTGTCCGCTCTTGAGATTTTTGTAAGCGTTGCTCAGCTTTGCCTGTTCTTAGCATTTGTATCAGCGGAGGTCATTGAGCATTTTGTGCCTGGCTTCTTTCACTCAATATACTCTTGGTGAGATTAGATTTATTGCTGTACAGAATTTGCTTGCGTGACTATGTTGTTGTTATTAAGTGCTGTTGAGTCAGTTCCGACTCAATAGCGACACTGTAGAGGGTTTCCGAGGAGTGGCTGGTGAGTTTGAATCTCCGACCCTTCAGTCTAGTGCTTATCTTACCAGGACTCTGTTGTATGAATATACCACAACTTATTTATCCATTCTTTTTTTTTTTTTTTTTTAACATGGAAAATATATATATAACAAAACATTTATAATTTCAGTATTTTGGCATGTCCAATTCAGTGATGCTAATTATGTTCATTGCCATTACCCATTTCCAAAAATTTCTGATACACTAGGCAGAAAATGAGTACTCCTTAAGGAATACTTTGGACTCCTGGTGTGGTGCTGTAGGATCAGCACTGGACTACTAACCACAAGGTTGGCAGTTCAAACCCACCAGCTGCTTCTTGGAAACCCTATACAGGGCTGCTATGAGTCAGTTGACTCAACAGCATTTAACAACAACAACAATCAATACTTCAGTCTTTCCCGCCTTCCTAGCCCTGATAATGAATAGACTTAGGTCTGTATACATTTGCCAATTCTGGATATTTCATGTAAGTGGAATCATACAATATTTGTCCTTTTGTAGCTGACTTATTTCACTCCGCATAATGTGTTCAAGGTCCACCCATGTTGCAGCATATATGGGGATTTCAGACTTATCCACTATTGCCTTAATTTTTATGTCTCAAAATTCACCCCAACCATCTTCTGATTTTTATCTTCAACCCCAGTGCCTCCTTAGCTGGCTTCCTAAAGGAAGCAGCAGATATGCCTTCCCAGCCCTGACCAGCTTGCCCTATAGTATCTCTAGAGTGCCCTGAGCCTGAGATTCAATACCTACCACCCTCCCTGTCACAGACTCTGGGCCCTGGGGCAGAAGGATAAGCCAGACTTCGGCAGCAGCGACTACCTGCCTCACTTGCCAAAGCAGAATGACCAGGCCAGCCAGACAGCAAGTTTGTGCCACCCCCTCCCCTAACCCACACCCACTAGTGCCCCGGAACCAATGCAGGTCACCCCTTGCCCGTGGTCCTGTTTATTAGGGGTGCCAATACTATCGCCAACAGCGGTGGGCAGGAAGAAGGAGCTATTTAGGCTGATAAAGATCTGGGGGCCCCACCTGCCCCCTCCCCCAACTTCCCTGGGGCCCTGGCTCAGGATGGACTGGCTCCCCACCCTGAAGTCTCCTTCTTCCACGGTATCTCAATCCGCCCTCTCAGAGGCAGGTCCAGCACCCTGCGTGCCTTGCCATCCCCTCCCATCAGCTACCAGAGGGCTTGGAGCTCAGACCTACTCACCTCCCCTCCACTAGCCCCGCCCAGCCTGCCTGGCTCTGCTCTTAGCCAGCCTGGGCAGTAGCTTCTCCTGGCTTAGGCTGTTGCTGCCCTCACCACCCACCTCGGGAGGCTGGCCCTGTCTGCTCCTCCGTGTCTGGCCTGGCTTGGGCCCCAGTGTGGCCCTCCAACAGTATCTGGGATTGAGCCCCCCATTTTTTCCTGAAGAGCAGCCATGGCCACCTACAAAGTTAAGGTGGCCACAGGCACTGACCTTATGTCAGGAACACTGGACTCCATCTCGCTGACCATTGTGGGAACCCAGGGAGAAAGCCACAAGCAACTATTGAACCATTTTGGACGAGACTTTGCAACTGGGGCGGTGAGTGAGTGTGTGTGGTGGTGGGGGTAGGGAGGTGCAGTTGGGGATGTGGATGAATCCAAGTAGGAAGGGCAGGGCCGGCAGAGGGATAAAGTGTGTCCAGAAGAGGTTGGAGAGCCTTGGGAGAGGGTGTCAAGAGGGGCTCTGATATCCCATAACCCAAACCTATCTTCCTACCCACCTCCCACTCACTGGTCTCCAGGGCTTCCTTTCCTTCATCCGGGCTCAACATCTTTTATCGCTTCTCTTTCTTAGCTCCTCTCTTTCTTTTATCAGTCATTCCTTTTCCTCTTCCACAGCTCATCTTTCAGTAGTCCTTTCCAACCTTCCCGCTCCCTCTTCTTTTGTTCCTTTCTGGTGCCTCCCTCCTGATCTCCTTTAGCCCTTTCTCCCATTCTTACTCAGTCTTGTTAAGTTAAGCTGTATCACAGTTGGCTTAAATTTTCATTGGATTCTCTGTGACTTAAAATGGCATTGGATAAGCCTGTCCGGTGGGGACCATCTGTTCCGTGATGGAAGGCACCTTTAGCTGGGCTCTCAGCCCTGACTTTAAGCCAGCCCCATCCACCTGCTGCTGTGTGGCCTGAATAGGTCACTCTGGTTACCTAAGGCCTCTTCTGAATCTCCACATCTTCACGGATAAGTGGGGCTGGCTGGACCACCTTTCCCTAATCTATGGGTCCAGGAGATTTGGGAGGTTCTGGGCCCTACTTGGACCCCTTTATACCCTCAGGTGGTGAGGGAGAGGATAGGACCTCCATAGCTGGGGGTGTAGAGGAGAGAGGGGCTGGGGTCCTACCCAGCCCTGGGTGGATGGGCCTAGCAGGGAACAGCCAGACTGGAGGGCAAGAGGTCAAATTCCTGCCTCCCCAACACTCCAGTTCAGGGAGATGAGCATCAATCAGAAGAGCAGGGTGAGGGGCCAGGCTAGACGGTAGCCTGAGGAAACCAGGGTCCAGTTCTGTCCTCTCAACCATCCCTGCTGCCCTGCCCAGGTGGATGAATATACTGTGCAGTGCCAGCAGGACCTCGGAGAGCTCATCCTTATCCGCCTGCACAAGGAACGCTCCTCCTTCTTCCCCAAGAATTCCTGGTACTGCAACTACGTGCAGATCTGCACACCAAATGGCCGCATCTACCACTTCCCCGCCTACCAGTGGATGGATGGTTATGAGACCCTGGCACTCCGGGAAGCTACAGGTGAGCCTTCACTCCCATCTCATGCTCTTGAGTTCCTCACTCCAGTCCTGCCGCCCAGCTCCTGGTGTAAGGTCAGGACACACTACTCTAAACCTATCAAGCCAGCCAGCTGCTAGCTCCACCAGAGGTTCCCCAGAACTCTTGCAGCTTTTACACTAGCTCTTAAGGCTGAGTGGGAAAGCAGGAGATGCAAGGTTGCTCTTAGGACCCCAGTGCCTGGCTAGGGACAGAATTCTACACTCCTCCCTTGGACATCCACACAGTGCCCCATCACTCTCAAGAGACACTTTGCTACTCTAAGTGCAGGACTCCGGACACTGATAGGATGCCCAATCAAAAGGCATGCCCTGTTATTCCAACAAGATGCCTTATGATTCCAATAGGATTCTGTCACTTCACCAGAAAGTCTTGTTACTTTAAAAGGATGCCCCATGATCCCAACTTAGTTCATTAAGAAACCTTATTATTTCAACAGTTCTCCATGGTACTGTAAGAGGAGGTCTTGGACATAATTATGGTGCCTTGGTTTCCCCACTGAGCATATTCTAAATGGAAGGGATGTTCTATTGTTCCAGAAAGACTCTCTGTGACTCCAATGTTGCTGTTGTTGTTAAGTGCGTCGAGTCAGTGTCGGTTCCAACTTATAGTGACCCTGTGTAGGGGTTCCCAAGGAGCAGCTGGTGGGTTTGAACTACAGACCTTGTGGTTAGCAGTCAAATGCTTATCCTACAGCACCATATCAAGACTCCATGATTCCAACAGGACACCTTATTTCTCAAACAGGGCTTTTTGTTGTTGTTGTTAAGTGCCGTCGAGTCAGTGCCAACTCATAGTGACCCTGTATAGGGTTTCCAAGGAGTGGCCGGTGAGTTTGAACCACTGACCTTGTGGTTCAGAATGACCTTGCAGTCCAGCGCATTATCCCACAGCGCCACACCAGGACTCCCAAACAGAGTTTACTTTAACAAAACCAAACCCAGAAAACAAGAGGCAGTTGTGATTGAGTTGATTCGGAGTGATGACAACCCCGCATATGTCAGAGTGAACTATGTCCTTCCTATAAGGTGTTCAGTGGTTGATTCTTTGGAAGTAGATTGGCAAGGCTTTCTTCTGAGGCACCTTTCGGTGGACTTGAACAGTCAGTCTTACAGTTAGCAGTCAAGTGTATTAACCATTTGCAACCAGGCAATTGGGAAACCTCAATCAGGCCACCATAGAACACTCTGTATGAATCACTGGGCATCCTACTGGAATGGACCTGATTCTTACTGGATTAAAGGGTCCTTCTGGAATGAGGGAACCCTGGGTAGTGCAGATTGTTGGAGAAAGGACCCAGGTCCCTGAGTAACGTGTATCTACCACTGCTCTGAGCCCTTTGCTTGGGGGGCTTGAGCCAACTTCCCAATATGAGGAGGCTTCAAAAAGTTTGTGACAAATGGAATTGAAAGATAATTACATTTTTCAGGAACATTGTGAAGCTTCCTCATATGTGGCCCTGTCTTCTACTGAAGGCCTGTTCTTATTTAACTCCCAGGTCTTAACCTTGAGGTGGCGGGGAGGGGAGGACTAAGAGGACCCTGAAGTCTTGGCACTCTAGCTTCCCTAATTCGGACCACCCTTCTTCCTAGTTATCATTGCTTTGTGGCTAGAGCCTTCTTCTAAGAGGAGATGACTGGAATCTGAGCTGGGGAAAGGAGAGGCAAGGGACAGAGGGAGGCAGGCCTGGGGAAGGGTGGGGATGTAAGGTGAGATCCTTGCTGGGGAAGCAGTTTCTTCCCACAGTGATAGGTCTGAGTGCCGTGGATGCAGGGGCCTGGCAGGATGATGCTGGGTAGCCAAGCAGGAATGGGGTTGGGTGGAGCAGCTGCCATGCAACACCAGGGCAGGGAGACTTGAGTCACCCATGGGGCTCTTAAAGAAGCAAAACTCCCGCCCTGACGATGAAGCCAAGCTGGGTTTATGTGTTACCCAACTCCATGGGGCACCATTCACCAACAATTCATCTGCTGAGGCAGATGGACAAGGAAGAGGGCAGTGAAGGGGGAGTTTGAGGAAAAGTCATGGGGCATGACATGGCTGTGACACCTGGGCTCATTTCTAAATTTTTCTAACCCTAAGTGTCCTCACCTGTAAATTGGGGCAAACAACAAAACCTACATCAGAGGGCTCATATGAGAATCCGATGAGGTAATGTCGAAAAGCAGTTTAGAGAAGGCTCACCAGGCAGTGGTATGAATGAGTATAGTCTCTCTGGGTTGTGCAATTTGTTAAGTATTGGCTACCTAATCAGAAGACTGATGGTGCAAACCCAGCCAGAGGTATCTTGGAAACTCATAGAAGACGCAGTTCTACTCTACAACACATGGTGTTGCTGGGAGTTAAAATCTACTCCTTGATGACTGGAATTTGGTTTTTTTGTGTGTGATTTTCTTTTTTTTTCTTTTTTTGTGGTGACTGTATGTGGTGAACCAGCTGTCAAAAGCTGACTACGATTGTTCAAATCTAATCATTCTACCTTCTCTCTATGTAGTATTGATGGTTTTCTCCTTGTAAAATGAGAGGATAGTATGGATACTTAGCTAGATGTGCTTTGAAATTCAATTTTTTAGAAGGCATTATGTAATATACTCATTTTAATAAAAACTAGAAATAGTTAAACCAAGTAAGTTAAATAAAGAATAACCCAAACCCATTGCTATTAAGTTGATTTGGACTCATAACAATCCTGTAGGGCAGAGTAGAACTGCTCTTTAGGATTTTTAAGACTATATATTTTGACTGAAGAAGACAGTCTCATCTTTCTCTTGAAAAATAAAGGATATATAAATTTTAATTAACAGAGAAAGAATCCTAGTGTGGTGCTGTAGGATATGCACTGGACCACAAGGTCGGTTTGAACCCCTCCATTGAGTAGGTTCCAACCCATAGTGACCCTGTATAGGATTTCCCAGGAGTGACTGGTGAGCTTGAACTGCCAACTTTGTGGTTCAAGTGGACTTTGCAGTCTGGTGCATTAACCCACAGAGCCATAGTTAAGTGCGGTTGAGTTGATTCCGACTCATAGCAACCCTGTATGGGATTTCAGAGAAGCAATATATATGAGTCCTGGTGTGGCACTGCAGGATAACATGCTGGGCTGCTGCGAGGTCAGTTTGCACTACAAACCCACCAGTTGCTCTTTCGGTTCCGACATATTTTATATATATATATATATATAGAGAGAGAGAGAGAGAGAGAGCATGTAACTTGGCAGAGGTGGAGGATATTTGATTTCCAGAACCTTCTGGATATTGGAGATATGAAGAAGGGGTTGTGATAATAGTTCATCTGCCTCATAAACTTGTTCTTATGAGAATTAAATGATTATAGAAGGAACGTGTACAGAAAGTGCCCAGTACCTAGTACGTGCTAAATAACTTAGTTATTAATATTTCAATAAGTTTAGAAGCATTAACTTGTGAGAATCAGCAGAGTTGAACCCAAGGATAGAGCAAGTCGGAAGAGGGTGAGCCCAAGTCTGATTTTTTCCCAGAAGATGCACCTTCAGCTGTGGACCCGTCAGAACTGATCTGGGGGAGGCGGGTAGCAGTTGAACTACTCCCCTGAGTAAGCAGGGAGCTTGCAGGGCTGGGGATTAAACTTTGAATCTTGAGCCTTCCCTTGTGTCTCCCAACAGGAAAGACTGCTGCGGATGACACGCTACCCATCCTCCTTGCGCACCGACAGGAGGAGATCAGAGCCAAGCAGGACTTATACCAGTGAGGGAGAGGGCGTCAGGACCCGGGACAACGGGGACAGGGAGCGCGCCGGGCCCTGGGTGTTACCTCTGGGCACCAGAACCCACCATCTCGGTTTATCTTTCCAGCTGGCGAGTCTTCGTTCCCGGCCTGCCCAATTACGTGCACATTCCCAGTTACCGTCCTCCCGTGCGCCGGCACCGCAACCCCAACCGACCCGAGTAAGGTCCCGAGGCTGCCCCTGGGTGCCCTTCCACGGCAGACACCTGGGTTTCTGTCCCCTTCGCGGGACCCCAGTGCCCAGCCCCAGCCTTGCCTCCCTCCCTATATAGGTGGAATGGCTACATTCCGGGGTTCCCCATTCTTATCAACATTAAGGCCACCAAATACCTGAACTCAAATCTCCGCTTCTCCTTCATCAAGACTGCCTCCTTCTTCCTCCGACTGGGGCCCCAGTAAGTATGTGCTAGTGGGGAGAGTAAGGGTTCCGTCAAATACCGGCCCCATCCCCACCCCAACCCTCACCCCTCCATTCCCACCTCCATCTCTGGAGGGACGCTAAGGCTAAAAGGATTTAGCTAAGGATGCGGAGATCTGGAGAAACAGAGACCTTGAGACCAGGCACCCAGAGACCTACATAACCTGGAATCGAGTTATGGAGACATAGAGCTTGAGACTCTGAGACCTAGACCCTAAGACTCAGAGCCCTAAGGGGGTTCGGGGCAACTCTGCCAAGGGTCCCGCGGGCGCCTGGCAGCCTCTCTGATGCCGGCTCCTCATCCCATTTCTAGGGCTCTCTCATTCAAGATCCGCGGTCTGGTGGATTGCAAACACTCGTGGAAGAGACTGAAAGACATTAAGAAAATTTTCCCTGCTAATAAGACTTTCATCTCCGGTATGGGGTGGGGCATTCCGAACTGAACCCGGGGGGTGCCAGGTGGTTTTTGGTGGGAGGAACGTGAGACAGGTCACAGAGGCAGGAGGACCCCACTTACCCCAGTGGAATGGAAGGACAGGTTCACATCGGAGGGGGCCCAGGGAGAGTTAGGTGGGCGCGCCCTCTGGCGGCCGCTTTGAAAACGTCGCCCTGGGCCCCACGGGCAAGGGAAGGCTTGGGGGCTTTGTGTTCCTCCCGGGGGCCTCTTGGGTGTCCTTTGCTTTCTGTGTCGCGGTCCGCCCCCCCCCCTTTGTCTCTCTGACCCTGAGGAGGGTTTGGGTTTGGTTGTGATGCCCCGCGTCGTTTCGTCCCTCTAGAATACGTTTCCAACCACTGGGCAGAGGACCGATTCTTTGGGTACCAATACCTCAATGGCATCAACCCAGGCGTGATCCGCCGCTGCACGCGGATCCCAGATAAGTTCCCCGTCACGAATGACATGGTGGCGCCGTTCTTGGGCGATGGAACGTGCCTGCAAGCGGAGCTGGAGGTGAGACCCTCCTCCTGACTCCCTTCCTCCTTCCCTGCCAGCCGTGGTTTCCCACCCTGCTTGGGTCCCACCCACTCCTGCATACTTCACTCCTGTTCCAGTCTGCTATGCAGCTCACAGGTGCCCCTTGTTGGTACCTTATCTGCCCGCCCATCATGTCTCCCCTCCAGAAGGGGAACATTTACCTGGCAGACTATCGCATCATTGAGGGCATCCCCACCGTCGAGCTGAACGGTCAGAAGCAGCACCACTGCGCTCCCCTCTGCCTGCTCTACCTTGACCCGGAAGGAAACGTGATGCCCATCGCTATTCAGGTGATTGGGATGCAGCCTGAAGCCCATTTTGAGCATATTGCCTGTTCATGAGCTTCTGTGCACTGCATCTGAGCATGCATGTATACCTGTGTGTGTATGTGTGTGTGTAAACTGCTTGTGTTCGTGAATATTCCTGCGTGTACATCTGAGTGAGTTTGTAGTTAGAGGGTCAGCTTGTGTGTATATGTGCGTGAGTAAGCCTGATGTGCTTGTGTGTGAGTCTGTGCGCGTCTAAATGTACACTTATAGTTATGCCTGGTACTATCTGTGGGGGACAATCTGTTTGTATGTATGCACATACATCTCCATGTTTGTTGGTGTGTGAACTGGGACATTCCTCTAAGTGGGCTCTTGTGTGTCAGCCACTGTGCATACATGTAACCAAATGGATAGTCCTATTGTGAGCCTTGAGGTGGGTATCTGTGTGTCCTTATGGGTGCATATCTATGCGCTGCCATTGTGTGTCTCTGGGTCCCTCTGGTTGCACTAATGTGTATAGTGTGCGGTAACTCTGTGTATATATGTAGAGGTGATTTGGGAAGGTCCTTAGTGGTTTGAACTTTTCTCTTTGGCTTCACTCATCCATCCCTTAGATAAATCAATCCCAGTTGTGGGCCAGGCCTCTGTGAGGAATACAGAGTTAATCAGATTTAGCCATCACTTTGGGAGTCTGCTTGGACAGCAGAGAATATTCGAGGTGCTTCCTCCTCAGAGGTTCCCCGCAAAGACCATGTGCGAATTAGAGAAAGGTGTCCCCTATGAGGGGAGCAGTGAAGCTCCAATGCTCCTGGCTTTTCAGTAGAACTGTGCAGTTTGCTTCAGTGGAACCAAACTGGATTTCAGGCCCCTCCCCAGGGGGGCTGGACACCTTTGTGCACTGCACAAACCCACACATCTGAATTGATGGCCTTGGGGTTGAAGTAAGGAAGACTTTTCAATGAAGGCAGCTTGGGAGCTGAGCCTTGAAGAATGAGTGGGAACTGCCAAGTTCCCAACGGGAAGGTGCTACAGGCCGAGGGAACAGTAAAAGCAAACTTGGTGTGCTCAGAGGACAAGGATTGGAATGTAGGAGGTATTTTAATCTCCTCAAACTACCCTCTGCTCCCTCATACAGTGGGTGCCTCCTGCAGCGGCTAACCCTCCCTTCTTCCCCACTCCCAGCTCAGCCAGACCCCCGGGCCTGATTGCCCCATCTTCCTGCCCAGTGACTCTGAATGGGACTGGCTGTTGGCCAAGACCTGGGTGCGCTACGCTGAGTTCTACAGCCACGAGGCCATCTCCCACCTGCTGGAGACCCACCTCATGGCTGAAGCCTACTGCCTGGCTGTAATAAGACAGCTTCCCATGTGCCACCCCCTCTACAAGGTATGGGTTTGGGAAAAGGGTTCCCAGGAAGCATCACCTTAGCCACATAAAGCCACTGGGTCACCCAACAGAGAGCAGGATTCCAGTTAGACTTGGGGAGTCAGTTGGGGACTCACAAGAGAGGGCTTAGGGTAGGGACATCTGTAAGTGACAGAGGCTGATGCTACAAAAAAATGGAGGTGCTGAGCTCCTTGGGGAGGTCATTTCAGTCAACTCTCATTGTTCCCCTCACTTTCTCCCCACAGCTCCTCGTTCCCCACACTCGATTCACCATCCAGATCAACAGCATTGGGCGGGCCCTCCTCCTCAATGAGGGGGGACTCTCTGCCAGGGTAAGGCCTCCATTCTCACCCCAGCAAGACCTTTGAGTTCCTTCTGCCCTCTGCAGTTAGACTGAAAGCAGGACTTTTCATTTGCCTTTAGATCATGTGGGGGCCTGGAGGGAGAGGAGAAGAATGGTTAAGTGGGGGTTATGTCTAAAAGGGTACAGAGGCAGGGCTGGGGTGCCAGGGCTCCTGGGGGATGGAGCAAGGTGGGACTGGGGTGAGAAGAATGTTCACTTGGTTCTGTGGTGGGAGTAGGGGGGACCTGAGGTAGGTGGGACCCCTGGTGAGAAGGATTTGTTTCAGGTTCTGCCTCTTCCTGTACAGGGCACATCCCTAGGCTTAGAGGGCTTTGCTGAGGTGATGGTGCGGGCTCTGAAAGAGATCACCTATGACAGCCTCTACCTCCCCAATGACTTTGTGGAGCGTGGGGTTCAGGACCTGCCCCGATATTATTATCGCGATGACTGCCTGGCAGTGTGGGATGCACTGGAGAGGTAAGTTTGGAACAGCAGTGAGGAACACTCAAAGTGGAAAACCTTGGATGCTGGAGGGGGCGAGGGGAACATTAAAGGGCCAGTGCTTGGGTGTAATGCTGAACAGGGGCTTCACATTGGGGATAGAGTCACACACTGAAGTTCTGGGAGAGCCTAAGAGGCCTGGTGGGCCCCTTCCTGGTTTGGGCCCCTAGCCCACCCCTGCTGACCATTTGTGCACCTCATTTGACCCTTATTTTTATTGTTAAGTGCCACAGAATTAATTCTCAATCATAGCAAGTCTGTGCAGGGTTTCCAAGGAGAGGCTGGTGGGTTTGAACTACTAACCTTGTGGTTAGGAGTCCAGTACTGATCCCACAGCACCACACCAGGACTCCTGACCCTTATTCGGGTGGGCTTTAAGTACCTTCTGATCTTGTCTGGCTACTCTCTCCACCTCTGCCCCAAAGGCCATGCCCACCACAGGCCAGCCTGAGCAACTCCAGGGCATCCTAGGGGAGGTGGGTAAAGCAAGATTGGGGAGATGGAAGGGTGGTCCAAATTGAGGCCCTGTTCTCTGCTCAGGTATGTGACAGAGGTCATCACTTACTATTACCCGAATGATGCCGCTGTGGAGGCTGACCCGGAATTGCAGTGCTGGGTGCAGGAGATATTCAAGGAGTGTTTGCTAGGACGAGAGAGCTCAGGTATGGGCCTGGACACCCAGACACCCAGCTGGGACCTGAGGCTGTGTGTCCTTGCAGGCTGGGCCAGAGCATGATTCACTGTGACCTAAAGGAGGTCTTGTCACAGACTTTCCCTGGTTCCTGGAGAAGCCATGTCTGGGAAAGTCATAGCTTGTCATCGGTCCCTGTGTGAGCTCAGAGGCTGGGGGTCATCTCTGCAGAGATCTATAGGGGCTTTGGTCCCCCACCCAGAAATTAATCTTTTTGGATTGAGAAATGGGACATGAACTCAGACAGGAAAGGGCACAGGTGTTGATGGGAAGCTGGTGGGAACTGTGGAAGGCACTGGGGTGTTGGTGGTGAATTGGTAGGAGCTGGTGGGGAGCTGATGGGATCAGGTGGGGAGCCAATGGGATGGGCATGATGGAGAGCTGGAAGGGGTGGTGGGGAGTTGTTAGGGAGCAGTGTGGAGCTCATGGGAGCTGACAGGATCCAGAAGCATGGCGTCATGTCACTTGGGTATCCATTCAACAAATAACTATCAAGCATCTGCATAGTGGTTACACATTGGATTGCTAACCACAAGGTCAGCAGATTGACTCTAACAGCCGCTCTGCCAGAGAAAGAGGAAGCTTTCTATTCCCATAAAGATTTACTGCCTGGAAACCCTATACAGGGTCACTGTGAGTTGGAATGACTCGCTGGCACATTACCATTTTGTGCCAAACACTGTATTGGTTATTGTGGCGGCAAAAGGAAAGGAGACAGATGAAGGTGCTTGTCCTCAGGAGTTCACAACCAACAGGGAGGGGGCCATGCAAGATGAGTGTTATGGGAAACCCAGAGAGGAGGCTGTAAGAGCCCAGGGAAGCACCTAACTTGTTTTGGGGAAGGTGTGTTAGGGTTGTTGTTGTGTTGTTGTGTCGATTCGGTTCCAACCCATAGCGACCCTGTATAGGGTTTCCAAGGAGCAACTGGTGAGTTTGAACCACCGACTTTTCCGTTTAAATGGTTCAACTACAGTGGAAAATGATATTCCACCTCCTCAGAAAGTTGGAAATAGAAATACCACATGATCCAGTTTGCAGTTTGGCACATTAACCTACAGTGCCACACCAGGACTCCCATGGTGTGTGTGTGTGTGTGTGTGTGTGTGTGTGTGTGTGTGTGTGTTAAGTGCTGTCAAAGACCCATAATGACCCCATATAGGGTTTTCAAGGAGCAGCTAGTGAGCCTGAACAGCCGACCTTGAAGTTCAAATGACTTTGCTGTCTGGCGCATTAATGCACAGCACTACACCAATAGGGGTGGAAATAGATAGCAGCAAACTGAGCATTATGTGGAATCTTCAGGAAGGGGAAGTTAGCCATTAGATGACAAGAGGATGAGGTTAAGAAAGCTCTGAGAGTGAACAGTATGAGGAAAGGCCTAGAAGCCAGAAAACACTGAGAATCCAGGGACCTGCTCCCAGTTTCCTGCACTGGAACATAGGCTGGGAGTTGGACAGGCTTTCCACAGGGCTAAGACTGAGGCCCTGTGCAGGGTTAGATCACACAGCCTGGTTGAGGAGTTTAGAGTGAACCTGAGCGGGGGTGAGGGGTAGGGGAGGGGTGGAGTATGTGAGGAGATGAGGTGTGTATGTTAGAATAATCAATCTGCATTAGATCTGGAAGACAGATCTCTTAAAGAGCAGTTGAAGTCTTCAGGAGGGAGGTGACAGGGACTTGATTAGGGGTTGGGGGGTGGGGACTATGGGGATGAAGAGACTTCAAGAGCTAGATGGGAGATAGTAATAACAGAATTTGGTGATTAGTTTGGACTTGGAAATGGGGGAGGATAGGAGTAGGGAGAAGTCAAGGATGACTCCCCAGTTTTATGTTTTCACAACTGGGTAGAGTAAGCATGTCATTCCCTGAGCTAGGGGAACATGAGAGGAAGATGATGGGTCCGGTTTGAATGTGTTGGACTTTTGGAATTGGGGTCATCATAGTTGGACTTTTGGAATTGGGGTCATCATAGTTGGACTTTTGGAATTGGGGTCATCATAGCAACCAGGACCACTCACAAGAGACAACAGGAAAGAGAAACAAGCAGCTAGATTAGGGAAGAGTTGTGAGACCCAGGACTACAGAGAAATCCACCTGGAGTGTTCAGAGTCTTCCGTGGGGTGGGGAAGGAGAGAGAAGTAACCAGGCTAGAAACTCAGGTCTCTCCTCAACAGAAGAAAGCTCCTCCTCAACCTTCACCAGGCAGGGGACCAGGGACTTCCCTTAGGGGACCTGGAGAAGACAATTGAGGGCCCCTCCTAGACAGGTGCTTGTGGTCTAGACTGGGAGGAGGGCCAAGCCGGCAGGGTGAGGACATGGATGCGGCAGGTTGGATTTTTGGCAAGACTGGGTGAGCTGGGTTTGGCCATGCCCTCTGCTGGGCAGCCAGGACCAGAGCAGGACTGACGCTGCCTGGAATGTCCCTTGCCCCTTAGGTTTTCCCACATGCTTGCGAACAGTGCCTGAGCTGATCCGGTATGTCACCATCGTCATCTATACCTGCTCTGCTAAGCACGCAGCTGTCAACACAGGGCAGGTACCCAAGTTCACAGTTCCATATCTAACCTCAATGCCAGTCACAACCTCAAACCCAACCTCAGACGTAATCCCTAGTGCAGCCCCAGTTTAAACCTCAGTCTCAGCAATCAGTCCTGGGCTAGCCTTAACCCCAATCTCACAGCTCCAATCTCAGCCCCAAATCAGACTCTACCCCAATGTCTCTCCAACCTCAGCCCCATCCTTGATCTCAACTCAGTTCCAAAACCAGCCCGGCCTCAGCCCACCACTGCAGGACTCCAAGGCAGGATGGGGGTGAATGTGGTCAGACTCTGGTAGAAGGAGAAATCCTGGGCGCTCTGTGACCCTAATGCACCCTTTACTCCACCCCACAGCTCGAGTATACCTCCTGGATGCCCAACTTCCCAACATCCATGAGGAACCCACCCATGCAGGTGAAGGGGCTGACCACTGAGGAGACTTTCATGGACACATTGCCAGATGTAAAAACCACGTGCATCATTCTCTTGGTGTTCTGGACGCTCAGTCGGGAGCCTGATGATAAGGTGACTGGGGCATCAGGATGCAGGCGGGAGTTGGGGGTAGAGGGTCTCTGAGTTTAAGAACAGCTGGGAGCTGGGAGACCAAGAGTGGAAAGGAGACATCAAAAATGGAAAGCAGGGAGATAAACGCTGCTAGAGGGAGAGGAAAGGAGCTAGGTTTTCTGGCATACAGGGAGGGTTGGGGTGTAGTCCTGGACAATGGAGGGGCTAGCTCCGTCCCAGCGTCCTGATTTTGTGCCCGCAGCGACCCTTGGGTCACTTCCCCGACATCCACTTCGTGGAGGAGGTCCCGCGCAGGAGCATGGAGGCGTTTCGCCAGCGGCTGATTCAGATCTCACAAAACATCCGCCAGCGCAACAAGTGCCTCCCCATCCCCTACTGCTACCTGGATCCTGTGCTGATTGAAAACAGTATTTCTATCTAGATTGGCCTTTTCAGGCTCGCCTCTACTGCCTTTGCTTGACTATTTTCCACCAAAAAACCCCTAAAACACTTCAGACTTATTCAGTGCATGTTTGGTCGTTTACTGGGGTTTGGGAGGTGGCAGGACTGGGCTGAAGGTTTGGGGCTGGGGCCATGCGGCCGGGCACTCCAAGACGAACTTCAGTTCGTGACAATAATGCTCTCACTCAACCCGTGGGGTCCAGGTAGGTGTAGGGCAGCAGCAAGTTCCGGCTCCGTTTCAGAATATCACACAACATCTGGGCCTGAAGGCTCTAGAAAGCAGCTTTGCTCAGCAAAAGGGCCTTCTGAGTGAAGTGCATATCTGGGTAGTTGCCCAGATGCTGCTGGGAGGGCAGAAGAAAAGGATGGGACCTTTATTGCTCCAGATGCCCAGGGAGTGGGGGAAGGGCATCTTTCAACCAGTTTTGGTTGAAAAATGTGTAGGGTGTCCGAGGAGCGGCAGGTGCGTTTAAACTGTTAACCTTGTGGTTTAAACGACCTTGCTTTCCAGTGTTTATCCTACAGCGCCACACCTGGCCTTCACTCATGGACGCTCTCAAATAACAAAATATTAATTTTAACTTGCTGAATGATCTTTTATAGGTAGGTATGGAAACTGTGCTGATTAATAGAAACCACTCAGTGCGGCCTCCCACCCCACTTCATCTGGTTCCCAGGGTCCATGCCCGTATCTTAGATAAACCTCTGCCACAGAGGGAACAGCAGAGCTCAGAGTCACACCCTGAGGGTGATAGCTCCATCCCTAAGTGCAAACTGAGGGTTTGAGGGCATATTAGGTATTTTGATTGGTTAGGTAGGTGTTTTGTTGGCTTGTGTTTCAACATTTAATTATTAAATGTCTGTCTTCTCTTGAAGAATCTGAAGATGTGGAAATAGTCATGTTCTCCCATGACCACAGTCACCACTCGTCCCTCTTGCTTAGTTTTTTGCTTCCTGACTCTGTGGCATTTACATTCAGTATTTTGAGCTAGATAGATCAAGCTACAGGAAAGGATCAAGCCAGGCCCTCTGAGTTGGGACTGATTGAGGATCTGACTCTCCACTGGTTCCTGAGGCAGAAATTGAACATGGGAATTGAATAGCATCCTGCTTAAAAGCTACTAGGTAATAGAAAAAATAAAAAATTAAATAAAAAAAAAATCCTTGAATCAAGTCAAAATGAGAACAAAACAACTCAAAACCTTTGGGACATAGCAAAAGCAGTGATCAGAGGACAATTTATAGCAATAAATGTACACATCCAAAACAAAGGAAGAACCAAAATCAACACCTTAATCTAACATCTCCAACAATTAAGAAAAAGATCAAAATAAGACTACAGTCACCAGAAGAAAAGAAATACTAAAGGTTACAGCAGAAATAAAGGAAATAGGAAATAGAAAAACAATAGGAAAAATCAACAAGGAGTTGATTCTTTGAAAGAATAAAATCAAAAAACCATTGGCAAATTTAACACAAGAAAAGAAGATATGCAAATAATAGAAATAAATTATATAGGTGACATCACAACAGAATCAATGGAAATAAAAAGGATAATAATAGAATACTACAAAGAATTATACTCCAACAAATTTGAAAATCTAGAAGGACACATTTCTAGAAACACATGACCTACCTAACCTAGCACAGACTAAAATAAAAACTTGAACAGACCTGTAATAAAAAGAAGAAATAGATCAAGTCACTAAAAGACTCCAAACAAAAAAAATAGTCCTGGCAAAATCCAACATCAATTACTGATAAATTCCTCAACACATTTAAGAGCATATACGGTGTGACATTGTAGAATAAATGCAAAATTGCAAGGTTGGTTTGAACCACAAGGTCTGCAGTTTAAACTCACCAGTTTATCCTCAGAAATCCTATCCAGGGTCACTATGAGTCGGAACCGACCTGACAGCACTCAACAACAACAAAATATAAAACCAACAGCCAACATTATTGTCAACGGTGAGAAACTGAAAGCAAACAGGAACCCGACAAGGATGCCCTTTATCACCATTCCTATTTAATATTGTGTTG